CTTGGCAATTGATTTGCTTAATACTAAAGCAAAGAAGGACTTGTTCTTGAGCATGTCATTAAAAGAGCGCATTTCTTGGATAAATTTCAAGCTAGGATGATTAATATTTTGATCATATTGTCCTTTCATGAACTACATTTTTTTATGCTATTTTGGTTGTAATTTGCTTGAAGTATTTGGGTTAAAATTTGATTGAACAATTTATTGGTTGTATTTTTATTGAATTATTCGAGTTATTCATATGGGATTTTTTTGTTCAATTATTATCTTTTCATATTAATTTTAATTTCCTATATGAACACAATTTATAGTAAACATGGACACTTTTTAGTTTTCTTGTAAATTTTATTTTCTTCTTTTTTAATTGTTTGCAGTCTCTATTTATTTTATGGGTAAAGTGTGTGTCATTTTAAAGGATGTAAAGTTGTGTCATTTTAAGAGACAGAAAGAGATAGATAAAAGAGGAGAGAGAGTTGACAAAAAAAATAAAGGTGTGGGTTCCACCTCTTTGTGAGAGTGAAAGGATATAAGTTGTGTCATTTAAAAGGATAAACATTTTCCCCTTATTTTATATACATGTAATGTCACAATTGAGCATGTCGAAGGTAATGACTTAGAGTGTAACGTCCGGCCACTCCAAGCATCAATGACTATCCCCACACACTAACATGAAACTTTTCAACGTGTTTTGTCCTTACTTGCACTTCCCGTGAAAACTTCCCAGGAGGTTACCCATCCCAGAATACTGCAAATCAAACACGTTTAACTATGGAGTTCTTCCGTTCCGGGCTACCGAAAAGTAGATGCATCTTGTTAATATAGGTAGTACCAATTAATTCTTATAAGCTATTCTCAACTGTACCGTCGTATACCAGCACAGTCTCTGGAATCCCTCTCTTTCGGGTGTTGTTTCGATTCATTCATGTACCCCCGTCGCTGGAAGTCTGCCAGGAGCCGCTCATTGTCTGTGCCCTTGCGCACCGGTGTAAGAACCTGCACCGTTAATTAAGGTATTTAATTAATTAATTATGCAAAAATAAGAAATGATTCCATAATTGACCCTAATAATTATTTATGAGGCTTAATAATCATAATAAGTGATTAAGAATGCTGAAAGTCGTTTTTCGGAAGAAAAGTGCAGATATCGGTTCTACTAGTCGGTATAAATGTGTACCGAAAAAGTATCCCAGAAAATTAAAGTAAGTGCATGATAATTACTAGAATAACATGTAGGACTTGTAAAATGAGTTTCAAGTCCAAATAATGAGAACTGGTGCTAGAAACCGGTACTGGCTTTGAAAAGCGCGTACCAGAAAAGTGCTCAGAAAAATATAATAAAAATATGATAATTCTTAGAAAATTATGTAGTTTCAGAATCCAAAGTTTGGGATTAAAATGCTAAGCGTAGCAATTAAAGTTAATACTGTGTGTTTAAGTGTGTTTGGGCTATTTATACTCATTTAAGGGCTCACAACCCTAGATAACAGAAAACCAGCGTGAGTTTCTCTTTGGTGGCTGACCTCCTATACTGTTCCATTGCTATCTACTCCATTTTGAGACTTTGTGATCATTCTATGCTTGTTTCTTCTTAAAACCTTCTTCCTAAACACTTGTTCTTGTTTGAGTGAGCCTTGGGAGGTTGGAAGACACCATTTTTCTGAGTGATCAGCCACTGTTCTTGTTTGTTTGGGGGCTGACCTTGGTGGTTGGGTTGAAAGAAGTATTGTCTTGGATTTTTTGTGGTCCAAGTGTTGATCTTTGGTGCTAAAGGGTCAACCTTTCTTACCATTTTCGTACACCATATTTCTAGTAGCTGTTGAAGTTGTTTTGGGAGCTTCTTGAGCAGTTGAACCTCTGTTTTGGCCTTTGGTATGTATACCAACCTTTGATCTTGAGTTTTAAGGCTTAAAAATGGTAGCTTGATGCATGTTTAGGTTAAAAGATGATAACTTGTTGTTGGGAGAGGCTTAACACATCTAGAAATGCATGATTATGTGTTTAAAATCGGTAAAAAGGGAACCTTTTAGGGATATCTTCACGAAAATGCAGAAACTGCATTCTGTCGTGAGATATCCGGATATTTGTCGAACTGATATCCGGATATTGGATATCCGGATACGTGGTTTTGGGATATCCGAATATTGGATATCCGGATATGTGAATCTGTATATCCGGATATTGCATATCCGGATATAGACAGTGAGATATCCGGATATTCTGGGATTTCGCAGAACAGCAGTTGTGCTGTGTGTACAGTAGGCTATTGGGGGTTTGTGGACCCTAGTTTGATGAAGTTGAACTTCTGTATTTAATGGATTAAGCCAGAATCATGGGATTAAGGGCTTGTGGCTTTGTTAGAAGCTTTAAGACTTGAAAACGTAATGTAAAGGCGTTGTCTTTAATTTGTATGCATGTGGTACATGTTATTGATTTATGTTTGGTCCATATCAGATTGTGATCTGCTGTGATTGGACTTTGAGCTTGTGGCATTGGATAGCTAGCTTAGAGGTAAGCTTTCGTGTCCTCGGTTTAGCCATGTTGTGGTTCCACCATGTCCCATGGGGATATGGTATATGCATGCTGTGTTACATGCTTTCAATGTTTTGGAAATGCTGTTGAGCTATTATATGTTAGTGTCTTGTTGATATGCATGGAGGTGCTCCACCTATACGCTAAGCCTGAGTATGTAGAACATACAATAGGGTGAGGCTGTGGGTGAGGTGCAAGCGGTGTTCCTTGTACTACATGTAGGGAATAGACGTATTCCTACATTTCTCTGGCCAGTAGATAGTGATTACACACATGCCATAGATATCTGTTGCACTACATAGTTTTGGAACTGATAATGATATAAATGCTTTTTGAACTTATATTGCACATGTAAGTGAGCTTGGGGTGGAAGATCCTTGAGGACCTCTTGTCTTACTGAGATTTCTAGTTTAGAGATCTCACCCCACGTTTGGGGAATGCTTATTTCAGGGTCAGGTAATGTTGAGACCTCAGGCGGCAAGAGGCCGGAGCTGAGTTAGATTGCTGTTATATTATGCTGCCTTGATTGGATGCTGGATTTGCATGCTGCTTTTATGCTTATAGCTTCAGTTTATGTTTTGAAGTTTTATGTTGAGACTTGTTGTTTACTATGTTTATTTGGTGAGCATGAGGATTGTCCATGACACATAGTATTTTTATGTCTTGATTATGTCTTGAGTCTTTTGGAGTTGTAATAATGTATCAGGATATTTGTCCGGATTACTTGATGTAATGCCGTGATTTAGATACACACTTTATCTATATATTGAGGTATTTCAGTAGATGTCGTATTGCAATTTACATACAGGCGTTATTTTATGAAATTGATTAAGTAATCAAGTGGGTAACTGATAATGACGTCATAATTGAAAAGAAAAAGAATATTCCGCAATTTTTATTAAGCACCGCTTAATACGATGTAATGTTAATATTCCGGGTATACACGGGGTGTTACAACCGGCAATCACTCCCCGCCCTCATCAGCGTCGGGAATGTTACATAGAGGAAGAAGAATTTCCAAATAAACTAATAGATCCATCTTCATCTTCAGTATCATCAGTTATTGAAGAAGATAATTTTTACTCATTGGTCAAACCTAAGAGTAAGAACGAGAAGATGCTAATGTGTGGAGAGCTAGTATAGCTTTAATATGTAAAGAGCTGCTGCTTAGTAGGACATCAAGTTATATCAAATTACTGATTGAAAAAAATATATTAGGTTTTATATTTTTTTATTAATATCATTGTATTTCTTTGTTATTTTTTTATTGACTCTTGTAATTTTAAATGTTTGTTAAAAAATCATATGATTTTTCAAAATCTTATAAATTCATATTTTCCTTTCAAATCTTATAAATTTTATTAAAATCCAATCTTATAAAATCTTGATCGTAAAAATAGTCTTTTAAAAAAATCTTTAAAGTTACTACAATTCTAGATATTCTTTTAAAATCTATAAAAAAAAAAAATTTGTATCTCAAATAGTCTTTTAAAATCCTAATCCAATACACCTCTTGAAATAGTCTCAAAATCAATTATATTCCGACCATTTTATTTGTAGAGGAAAACAATGTTTACAGATTGCAAATTTGCAATGTGCAGAATTATTGGGTTAGTGTTATTTTTCGTGTTTGTTGCACGTAACTATTTATTCCTGTTTAAGTAAATGAAGTTTTTTAAGCTTTTGCATCATGGGAAAAATGAATGAAAGAGAAGTCATCAGTGGCTCGATGCGATTTGACTTTTATATTCTAATGCGATTTGGTAGAGAAAATAGTAATTTCGTTTAGAAGGGTGGTACAGATTGCATAAGCGTTGACTTTTGTATTCTAATGCGATTTGAATCTTTAATAATATGTTGACTTTTGTTGGCTTTCAGACTGTATATTATATTGGAGTTTAGGTGGCAAACTATTTGTTGAAACTTCTTAGCCTTAGGCCATGCCCCAGCAGCAGAATTTTATAGAAGAATTTAAGAAACTGATAAATTTGGTAAAGTATTAGGCAGATAAATCTACTCACTTCATGGGTCCTGATCCTAATTCCTAAGCCATAATGAATTATATTAATAATACTTCCTTGAGAGTCCTCGTGGAACCGCGCGTACATGTGATCAGACAAACACGAAACATACTCTAAAATTCTATTTCAAAATAAACTTGTCTTAAATTGAATACCCTTTTGTTTTCTACTTGGTGATCACCTCGTAGAAATCGATGAATATGAAAACGAATATAACCAATGGAAATAAACGATATGGCTAGATAACTCATAATTGTCATACACACGCTCTGTTGAATAATATTCGAACAAGACTTTCAAGGTGTTTTCATAGGAAATTAGGGAATACAAATGAAAACTCTCACTCACTCATTGACTCTCTCACTCTCATTGTATGTGCACGTTCTTCAGCAAAAAATGGCATTTACAATATGGAATACATGACCCAGTTTATGATAATATTCTCGCATACTATACCATACTTTTCAAATCTGGTAGGTTGTCATCCAAACTAGCATATACGTCAATAATCCTGCCCAAAGAGAAAAGTTACAAATAACAAGATTACACCTCAATTGTCAAATGATTTGCTAAAATGGAAAAGGAAAAAAGGAATCCAATTATCCTGATGCACAGCTAATTTGATTCATGACCAAGGGGAAGAGAATCGGAGACTCTTTTTTTTTTTGGAAATATTTTTTTTTTGAAATATTTCAATCGGTTCATTGCTTCACAACTAATCCGATTATGGGCAAGTCCAGGATTAAGGTTTTAAACCCCTCCCAAATGTGGTACTGAAGAGATTCGAACACATGCTCTCACTCCCACATGCTTAGCTCTCATGCGTCAACTGAACTACCACCATTTGGTAGAATAAGAGACTCTCTAGGAGCTTGTAAAATACTCACATCGTCTTCATAAGTTCAAAAGGAAAATATACCTTTGTTAAGGGAATAAATTGTTTTATATATTACATAAAATAAAATAAAAATTAGCATATGAGCACCAACTAATCAAATAAAAGGAAAATATATATAAATAAGTTCTAAGAACCAAGAAAATGGTCTCGGAGAAGTTCTCCCCATTATAAATGTAACAATATTCGAATTGAATTAGTCAGAATAATTAATTAATAGATATAAAAAAAAAAAATATATATATATATATATATATATATATATATATATATATATTTAGGGTGCACAAAACGAAGTCGTTTTGAGCAAAAATCAAGGTATTTTTGTAATTATAATTTATTTCAGGATTATAATAGTCTTTTTATTATAATTTTTTTATTTTTCAGCCTAAAACGACGTCGTTTTGGGATATAGATAATTTATCTACGTTCATTATAGAAATATTAAATCCATATATTTATATATAATTAGTTAGCAAGTCTAACTAAACAATGAAATAGCCATGTACCTGCAAACATTTTCACCGTCATAGGCCTTGCTCCTGTCGATAAACCAACTGTAAAATTCATAGAAAGAGTCGATCACTTGTATATTAACATTGATAGCCAAACATTAAAACCACAAAACCAATTTTTTTTTTATTTTGTGACACCAAAGAACTGATAAACCAACCCAAAAACCTTAATAAAGTGACTAACCTGAATCACAATTGGACGTTGAATTAAAGTTCCCACACATACACAATTGTCTAATCCCATCGTCACCATACCCACAAGTGCCACCAGTTGCCTCACATGCCCCACAAAACTCATCATTCCCTTGCACCGAATACCTCACACGGATCCCATATGACCATTGACCAGGCCCATCAACCCTCAGTGGTGCCACACTATAAGCACTACTATACCCTTCACACTCAAGCCTCGTGAGGTTAATCCCCTTAATAGCATCATACGGCACAGCACAACATTCAGGTGGGCCTGACCCAAAAAAGGACGAGCCCATCCGTTTGTGGCCCATCATATCCCAGGCCGGGCAGCCATAGTACTCCTCGCAGCCCATGCCAGAAACGTTTCGACACGGCAAATGCTTCCCGGGGAAACCTTGGAACAGCGGTGACCGAGGTGAGCAAGCAAGGAGCAAGAACACGTTATCCGACACAGGGTTCATGTAAGGCTCACGCCATGGCTCAACATTGAAGCCGTTACCTTTGGTTCCTAGTACAAGAGTGTCACATGTTGACATGTGAGGCTCATGAAGAGTTAGAGCCTGATAAGCATAGTCTATTTCTAGTACCTTGTAGGAACCAGAGGTTATGTGGAACATGAGAACATCGTTGATGCAATATAGGAGGTCACGGTATCCTGGGTGACCGCACCCGTATTGGAGTGAAAATGGGTAATCTATTGTTATGTTGCCACAATATGAACGGCATGAATTGGCTTGGCTGGTTCTCAAAGGGATCAAATATGCCGAGAGAATGAGATAGAGGGTGGGGAACAATGTGGGCATGGTTGAACAACTTAGTTTGAAAATGGATAACAGTGTGAGTGACTAGTGAGGCACTGCAAATGATACTTTGCTTTGTTGCTTGATGAGAATGAATGATTTTGGGTTTGCTTTATTCACATGTAGTGTTTTGTTGAGGAATCCTAGTTGAATTGTGTGTTGGTTTTCCTTTACTTTTTTGTTTGGGTGGAATTATTGATTTTTTTTATTTATTTAAATGGATGTTTTGATAGCTTTTGAAGTTCTGTTTGGCTTTGGTTTGCTTTTTTGGATTGGAGAGATGAATAAATAGATTGCTTTATAATTTTATATATATTTATTTATTTTTGGATATTATAGGTTCCTTTGACGCTTGGGTTGTGTCTAGAATTTATTGGGTACAGTTTTTACTTCGCATGGTGATAAAGGTATTTATTGTCGGGATCAGCAGAAAGGTAACTCGAGTCCCGCTCTCAAGTGAGCGGGTGGGGTACGGGGAGCCGCCTCTGCGGGGTCGGGGGGCAACGCCCCTGGACTCGTAAAGGTTAGGTACTGTTGTGGGCCTCTGATTTATTTTATTTTTTTCTGAGTAATTTCAGTTTAGACCCATGAATAGCTTTTCTAATCTATTTATATCTTGCTTGTAGACCGAGTGACTTGTAACGAGTGATGATAAGATAAATATAGTATAAACAAGCTGAACGTAGCTTAAATTGGATAAATCAAGTAAATTACTGTGTCAATTCTCTTTTTCTCTCTTCATTTGATATTTGTATATGATTGTTGATTTCCAACATAATTAAGACAAAAAATTAGGGGTGTTCATCAACCGATTCAAACCGCAAAAACCGAAAAACCGATAACCGAATAAACCGAAAACCGACAAAAAACCACAAATTTTAATTGGATTGGATCGATTTTTGGATGGATTGATGAAAACCGATCCAATCCAAACCGATCCAATATATTAATTTTCCTCTACTTACTTGGTCCTTTCCTCAATCATAGCCCAAAAATTTCTAAACCTAAGACTCATTAACTCATCAACTAATCCCAAGAAAAAATAGTCACGTCTCATCAACAAAATTTAATCCTTGTAGAGCTTCATATCTCATTGCAAAAAAAAAAATAACTATAGTATCGTCTACTGATATTTTGGTATTTCAATATTTTTTTTACAAAACCAATATATACAAAAGATGTTATTTGCACAATAATCATAAAACTAATTTTAGGATATTCAAAAAACCAAAAACCGATTCAATCCAAACCGAAAAAAATTGGATTGGATCGGATCGGATTTGAAAAAAAATTCAAACTGAATGAATGATTACATGATCAAACCGAAGGGATTGGATCGGATGAATTTTGCTTCTAAAACCGATCTAATCCAGACCACGAACACCCCTACTAAAAATAATACGATAAAAAATCAAATACATACTCTCAGTCTTACTTAGTAAGAGCTCGAATATATCAACTAACTATCAAAATTGAATATTAAGCTTCTTGACGGTGGAAATTGAAGTTGTTTAAATTGTAAAGACAGTTTTTTTTTTTTTTTTTTTTTTTGAGATATGGCAACAATCGTGAATGTTTAAGCTCATGAGTGTCAGATAGAACATTTTTCAGATTATGCGTGATTGACGATGATGCTGAGCAATGCACACTAAAGTAGTTGACTTTCAACTTCCGTATTCTCTTACGCTAAAACCAAAGCAAGCTCCCAGTTCCACTGATATATTTTCCCAATCCTCTGTTTTCTCTGCTTGCCTATCAATGATTGTACGATTCGCTCAATTTATGTTGGGCCCGTAGTCCTTCTTTCTTTTTTATCTGTGCTGGCCCACAATCCCTTTCGGCAATGTATAAACTCATTTAGCTATTTTTGGGACTTGAAAACTTAAGGCATGCTTGGTTACTGTTTTCAATTTTTGAAAAAAAACAAACAAAAATAAAGAAAGGTGCTGTAATTGTTTTCTTGCTTTGTGCTTTATTATCGATTCTAAAAATAATAAAACAAAAGCATCATCAAGGTTTTTTTAGTTGATAACAAGTTTAAATTAGGGAAATGTACATTCCCGTACAAGATCGGATAAAACCATTAACCTCGTTAAGAGTTTACCAAAGAGGAAAGAAAACCTTATAATCGAATAAGTCGTAATTAATCTAGGTGGAAGATTCCACCAGATATATCAACCATCATTGAAACATCAAGATATTTTTTAACTTTTATTTCCAAATTATATAAAAAAATTTCAACGGTAGAACTTTAAATAAGTGAATTCAATTAATAATTGTTTTATAACAAATGAAACATCATCCGATCATTCTTGTTTGTGAGTTGGAGATCATCACATGCCCACCATTTCTAGTACGCTAACGAGCACATAACTTCTTCCAAACATTTTGTTTTGTTTATTCTAAAAAGTGTTTTAATTTTTTTTTTCCAAACAAGTTTCTTTGATTTTCATTAATCTAAAACCATTGGTTACACTTGTTATATGTATCTAGTATTCCAATTCTTCAAAAAGTTTGAATTTCAAATAGCTAATACGTTTGCATTTTTTATGAATATATTATGGGGTAGGATATTGTAACAATCAATTAGGGTTACTACCAATGTTACTACTAATTAATTTTACCGTTAGATCAATTATGTTGATCCAACGGTTATATTTATTTTCATCTTTGTATGATTATGATTTTTGTGTATGATTATATTTATATTCAAATATGGTGAATCATAACCATACAAAGATGGAAATAAATATAACCGTTGGATTAACATAATTAATCTAACGATGAAATTGATTGATAGTAACATTGGTAGTAACCTTAATTACTTAATGAGTTTTATAAGAGTTATGTTGTAAGAAAAGTGATTGTGTTATGTTATAGAGATTCGTTTTGCGTGCCGAAGTTTTTTTTTTTTGCTGCGGGCCCCACAAAATATTCTGTGTGTAGGAAACTTTTTGTGGTCATGTTAAATGATAAATGATAAACCCTTACTTAATTGATTGTTATAATATTCTACCCCATATATTATACATTAATTTTGAAATATTTTGGTGGAGTATAAAATATTTTTTAAATACAAGAAAAATTAAAAAAATCAAATATTTTGTTAACCAAAAACAAAAAGGAAAATAAAAATAAAAACAACCGGAAAAAAAAAAGTGCATCGCAAGTCTCAGTCTCGAGAGTCTCACATTCACAGCGTAAAAGATTCGACGGAGGTGCAATCTTACGAGTCCACCGCCATCTACACCGAATCAGTTTAGTTGGATATTCGATTTCCCAATTTCCTTTCGTGTTTCGTGGATTTTGCTGAGCCTCCAACCATGCAAGTCCCCGATAACTCTGAATCCACCGTTCCAAAGGTACAAAATTCCTCATATATTGCTTCATTTCGTGTTTTTTTTTTTTTTTTTGGGTCGTTTTCTTTTTAACTTAACAAGTTAGTTTCATTATTTGGTCTATGGATAGCAATACGCAAAGGATTTGAATTGTGAACCCTAGAATTTTTTTGTTTATCTGATTGTAGTGCTACTTATTAATTCGATAACTGCAATGACACTATTCATTTAGCGCTTTATTGGTGGTTGACAATAACAGAAATAACTTTTACTTTGATGCACCTGTATAAAATGATGACCAAGTTTGTATTCTTATTGCAAAATCAATAAATTATCGACAATAGCAGAAATGGTTTTTACTTTGATAGCATGCCAGTGTCTGTTATTACAAAAAAAATAAATAAATAAATAAAATATGTCTAATCTGGACCTTGTATGTTGAACCTGTTAATTTTTTGCTTTTCCATTTTCTAGGTCTCACCTTAGATGTATTGTTCTGCATTTAAGTTTCTCTTTTCTTAAAAAGATAATATTAAAATTGCTCGTGTTTCTGTTAAGATTTATGAATATGGATTGATGCGAAAGAAATATACATATATTTGAGCAGGTTTGAGTCATGAGTTTCATGACCAGGTTCAAAATGTACAAGTAACTTCTGGGGGTTTGATACAGATGCTTCTCTTGCTGTTTGGAAAATATAAGTTATTCAATGATGGTTATTTAACTATATCTACTTACTGAGTCTAAAGTAACACCCCCCCCCCCCCCCAAAAAAAAAAAAATGAAACCCTGAGTTGTGAGGGTAGAGGTGAAAAGATCCTTGTACACAGCTTTACAGCCTTAACCCCTGCATTTTAACCAAAGGTTGTTTCCTCAATTTGAACATGTGCCATCACCTTTTGGTTACAAAAAAAAGAAAGCAACTTTATCACTGCTCTAGGTTTGTCTTTCCTTTCAAATCTGTTGTCGTTTTCTTTCAATTTCTGAAAACGTTGCTATCAATTGTGTGCTGGACTTCACCATGCTGAATTTATTTAATTTCATTGCTATTCTCATACTTTCCTTAATCAGGGTTCTCCAAAACTAGCTGGAATGGTTAACGGGGGCACGGCAACTGTTATTGGAGTATTTGCAGGCATGTTATATGGCGGTAGCAAGGAGGCAGCTGCTTCTGTTGTAAGTTTATGATTAAAAAGCTGCTTTAGAACAATGTGTTTCATATAGCAATCTCAAGTGTAGTATTTTCAACACTGCAAAGGTCATTAAAAATTAAAACAAGAGTACAAGCTGAGATTATTTTCTTTAAAGGATAGAACTAAATACTCTGTAATTCTGTGTGTGAGTTTGAGTTTGGGTTTGGTTAGCTTACCGTTAGATGTGGCTGTGATGAGTAAGTTCAATGCTTCCCGAGAATTGATATTCGTTGAGAAAATACTTGGGTCTTGGATAGAAGAAGGATGTACATTAAAGCGGAAGACTAGTAACCTCCCCATTACAAAATGAGTACGAAACTGTTAAAAGGTTAATTGTACTCATACCTAATATTTTATATTGCGTATCCTATGACAGAAACAAAGATAAATTACTGAGACTTTTTGCTTAATCATTATTCTGTGTTGAGAATTTTCCAGAACTAGTAACATATAAAGGTAGGTGCAAACCCACTACGTGAACACCATAAGGATGTCAAAAAGACTACCCAATCCCATCAACAGACATAAATTTCTGCTTAATCCTTGTGTAGCTTTTTAAGAGCCTAAACTAAATAAGACATGAATTGTTCTCATTTGGTTAGTTGGAAATACAGTAGATCATAAACTTTTTTTTATATATATCTGATTATCTGGTTATTGATTTTTTCGTGTTCATTTTTTGCTCCCCCTCCCTTGTTTGAAACAACACTTTTTTTTAGAAAAGGATAACTAAAGCAGTTATTTATTTATTTTAATTTCTTCTTTTATCATATGTTCAAGATCTTCTAATTATTCATGTCATCTAGTTTGTTTTTTCTGCTACTTGTGTGGACTACACATTTTACTTGTTTTCTATATGCTGTATTGAACAAATACTAATTACCTCACCCTCTCTAATGGAAGGGCATTTTTTGATAGAAATTTCCACTCCTTCCCCCATCCGCCGGTGCTATTGAGTTTGTTAGTGCTACCAAATTAACTTTACACCTGAATGCAATAAAAAACTGTCTAACCCCTCACAAATATCTGTTTAAATTGAAAAATAACTCTCATGCAAACATGTTGCTAGGGTTTATCTTTTCTTTTGCTGATTATACATTCTGTTCTTGCCAACTATGTTAATATAAACATTGCTTGTCTATATTATCTCAATACTGTGACAGTCATAAGGAATTTCTCATGTTTTGCTAGAGCAAGGATGCAGAAGTAATGTTGAAACTTGGTAGCACAGAAGACAAACGTGAGCAATATCGATTGATGAGAGATGCAATGGAGAAACGATTCCTTAGAGTTACGCGAGGCTCAATAGTTGGAGGGGTACGCCTTGGAATTTTCACTGCTGCATTTTATGGTATTCAAAATCTACTTGCAGAGAAGCGAGGTGTGCATGATGTTTTTAATGTTGTTGGAGCTGGATCAGCCACTGCTTCAGCCTTTGGTTTAATCAGTAAGAAATCATACACTGACAGTAGACTCTTTAATATTACCTGGGCTGGATGACTGAAACACTTAACTGCTCTAGTTTGATATTACAATAAGATACTTTTTTTATCTTATGAAAGGCTTCTTTAGGTTGAAAATCTTGATATAAGGTAGAAAATGGTTACATGTCACAGTTATTGTGTTGATAAATTTGATATATTGTTTCCCTTTTTTATGTTAGTGCCAGGATCACTCCATTGGCGAGCAAGGAATATGGCCCTAGGGTCAGTGCTGGGAGCAGCATTTTGCTTTCCTCTTGGTAATATTTTTATTATTTCTTGATTAGTTATCTTTGCTAATCACTAACAGGAGAAAATCCTGTTATGAGAAAAATAGTCAGTTTTATTGCCACTATTACTTTTGTAGGGACCCTTTAATTTTTTAAAAAGTCAGCTTGTGATTATCTCTCTAGTAACCAGATTCTCTCTCCTGTTTGTGAGTACAAGGAGAGGATCCAAATTTTTAATAATTTAGCTTGCTGGGCATTATGGATATGTGGCTATCTGTTGAAGTTTTTTTCATTAATTGTTTGGCAGGTTGGATCCATTTGAAGCTGGTAGAAATAGCTAATAAAGAGAATCCAGCTGCATATCATCAGAGAGAAGTAAAGAGTGGCGTTAGTGCTGCAATCGAGAGGCTTGAAGGAAATTTAAGTAAATGAAAGCTACTGGTAGTTGTGATGTCCCCCACCCCCAGCACGCCTTGTCATTTTTATTTTCTCTGAGAAGTGGGGTAATCTTGCGATGGAGAATGGGGCAAGAACTTCAAATGGCATTCCTGCCCTCTTCATTGGAAAAAAGTGCTAATTCAATAATTTAGTTGACCTAGTTGTGTTACTGAAGGTTTTTCATGTGAGGGCCATTTGTTATTCAGCTATCATGCTTTCAGTCTTGGTCTGAAAAGTAGTATACATATTTTTAGAGCGCTTCTGTTTTTGGATTTCATTAATTATAGTGGCTCACACCCAAAAATTGAAAAAAATAAAAATGTCTTCTAGTGGAGGCAGTATGATATACCTTGTGGTCCAGACAGTGTCTAAGAATCTAGGCATTCTGAGAAAGCTGTAATACAATCAATGGACGAGCAGATTGGGCGATCCACTTTACAGGTATGAAATGCAGAACTTTGCAGTGATAAGATGTTTGCTGTTGGTTAGAAGGCTGCCTAGGAGAAAACTGCATGCCATCAGATCCGTGCTGGGCCCTCTTGCTTTGTATTGTATTTCCTCTGCATTTTTTGTCATCTGGGAATTTTATTCCGTTTTTAAAATGTAATCATCTGCACCTGAATTCAAATGCCTTTTTACTGATGAAGTTCCTGTACTAATTAGGCGCGGCAAAGTTAACTGATGCTTGGTTTTTTTTTTAGTTGATAATTTTTATTATTAATTACATAAATTTCAAGATTTTTTAATACTTGATGTTTCCTGATTCCATATTCTTTCATGTAAACTATTCTGTAGTTTCATTTGAATCTACATTCAATAATTGGAAGGCAAGTTTATTTATTTTTTTATCCTTTTCTGTAATTCTTTGTACCATAACATTGTTGAGGCCTTGATTTGTGCTTAACACTAATTAAGGACTTTTAAGAAATACTTGGTTAATCTACGTGAACAAATGATTTAAACTTGATAGTGTGCTATATACATTAATTTTGTTTAATTGAATACTGATAGTTCAACCATTAATATTTTTTAATTATTATTATTACTACTACCCTAAAAAGGGGTTGGTTATATTTATTACTGAATTTTTTTATTACTCTTACTACTAAATTAATTATAGTTGATTTTTGTCAATTTGATGATTATAACTTTTAATAATTAATAATTAATAAGTGTGATTTAAAAAATTATAATTGTCATATTAACAAAAATAAATGGTGGTTAGTTTAGTAATAAGAATAATAAAAATATTCAAGAATAAGATAACCGATCCTTTTTTTTATCCATACTGGTTTAATCGGTTCAAGTCAAACCTATATTGAAGGCTTTTTTCTAATATATTTTTTTATTCTCATAATTCAAACTCAGTCTTGATTAAAGTTGTTCCTTGAATCTTGTACCCAAAAAAAAAAAAAAAACGAGAGTCAGTCGTTGTTGGTTACTAGTAATTCTTGAAGTGTTAGGTAGGTTGAACATGCGAGGTTTTTTATTATTTTAATTGTTTTTTATGTTACGGCATAGAGTTTCACTCGTTTTTATTTCAATTTAGAGATTCCTAGTTATTTTATTTTGAGACTTAGATTTATCCATTTAAGACTTGTTCATTTGAAATGTGTTGATTCAAATCGAAGGGAAACATTTTTTCTCCAGCGCAACTCAATCCGCTACTAAATAAGGAGGTCAAGTTTATTTTTATTATTTAAAAAAAAAAAAAGAGGACACTATAAAACACACCCAAATTAACCCATGCCCAGCCCTACACGACAGTGCCTTGCAAATTCAAGGGAATCAAGATTTGCCAATTTCAAAAAACTTTACAAGCGAAAGCATCAATAGCAAAATTTTCCAACAATTTTCTTATTCCTCATTGGTTTCAATGTTTAAAGATGCAACTATCTGTCATCAGCAATGTTAAGGCCAATACAACATATCAGCTTGAATAAAATTAAAGAATACAAAATTGCACATAATACATACCACGCTATAAACTTGTAAAAATGAGTAGCAGTAAAAGCAAATAAACAGTGAATTTCCTACCAGTATCTTGACATTAACCAAGAATTCAAGGAACAAGTAAAACAGCCAACTATGAAAGCATTCAAGTTACTCTCATCTGCTTCAGCTCCGGGTACGGATAGCATCGCTTTTTTATCATGGTTGACTCCAAATAATCCTCCGTTTCTATTTTACTTCTTTTTGACACCGGGGGGCCCCTTGAACTTAATGTTGTTAGTTGTGCAGCTTCTGTAAATAAATCTTACGAAATATTACATTGTTCTTAGCCTGCAAAGAACCAGGGAGATTCAAGGTGAGAAGCAACCATGTATATTTTGGAAAAATTCCTTAGACTACATCTGGCTAGACTCATTCCACGGTTGGCAGCCAGCGCTTCTCAATGTGGAGACATCATATCTATGATGCAAGTTATACCCAGACAATTGTAGAGTCTATAGGTACAACCGGTTTCACTAAATATTTTTTTTCATTCATGGTCAATCTCCAAGTAATTGAGACTGCAATCAACATCTGGTTGAATCTACCTATTCCAAGGGGTACCTAAAATCTCCACTCATAGAGAAGCATCTTCTACAGGATTTGGTGGGTGGGAACTATGAAGGAGAAATCAAAATGACCACTCAGAGAGAAGCATCTTCTACCAAAACTTTATAAAGCTGGGTTAGAGGAAAAAAGTAAAGGTCTAATATGGCCAACCCCTCTCACAATGCCAGGAAAAACTAGCAAACATGACCTTCCCCCGTGTTTTAAAATGCAACACAAAGTTCAGTAACACAGCAGGATAACTGCATTTCAGAAATTCAGAATAGAACAGCCATTGCAGTAGTTGTGGTTTTATTTTCTTGACACAATGCGGTTACTGAAAAGAAATTAACTAATGTGGCACATTAAAAAATAGAAGTGAGGTTAATGTAAAGTGTCTTATATCTAATAAGAAAGCATGTATAAAGAAATTACCATTAACTTGGCTAGGCAATGCACTCTCTCGCGCCTTCTTTCCTGTCCTTTTTACAGCCTCAGCTGTAACCATTGAAGTTTGTCAATTAATAATGAAAAGGAAATAAATAGATTGTGTCTGGTATAAAAAAAAATGCTGGGTGGCTTTCCTCCTAGAACTATAATATGCATATGGTATGAACTTCACATAAAGACATGTATGAAAGCCTTCTGCATGTCGTCTTGGGCCAGTCACCAGGCAAATAACCTCCCCGAAATAACCAATCATACCTTTAAATTTTCTTTTCTTATTAGCTCTCCTCCTTTTCCTCTCCTCCTTAGTAAGCTCTGCTTCTTCCTTAATATCACCCTTGCCATCAAAGACCTCCTCAGGAGCCAGCATAGCTGCATCTGAAACAGCCACAGGTGCAATCTACACATGGAAGGTATAATAGATTGTGAGTTACTAATGACTGGAAGAAGCAGAAATAAAATTTTGAGAAGATAATAGCTCATTACTTCTTCCATTGCAAGAGCAGGCACATTAGTTTGAATAGTCATGTCCTCTATAACCTGTCCAGTTCAATTCGGAGCAAATAAGAAGACACAAAAAATTTCAATGTCATGCAGTTGTTGATCAAGAGAAAACAAGAACGTTGATGTCATACAGGTTTTGGAGCAAAGTTAAAATGAGAAAGGGCATCCAGCTTCAGAGAGAGTCTCTTAAACAGCATGCTTGCCTGACCACAAGTAAAAGGCACAAAATTCAGTGTATAATGAAAAGTGTAAAACAATGGCTACATAGCCTGATTGAGAGCCACTGAGCCAGTCTTGTATCAAACATGAGGAACATAACAAATGAAAAGAGATTACATAGTAACAGAAGTAGAAACAGAGTAAAGCAATCAAGAGTTGCACCTCATTCTTCAGTTCATCTTTGAATGACAATGGAGCAGATGCAGGGTCTTTCTTCTGAACATATTCTTGCTGTCCACAATTAAATATTTTTTTGAGACAAATCACAAGTAAAGGACAAAATGTATGACAACACCTGGAGACTTAGTAAAGGTGAAGAAAGAAAATGGAGGTTGAAATAGTCAAGAAATACGGACCTCATAAATTTCTGCAAGACCTTGCTTACTTTTATTGTCATTCTGTATTCATCAGGGAAATGATTTGTACAAGTTAGTTACATACAAATATAACTAGACAAGACATTGAACCTCAAAATCTATTTATTTCAGTAAAACAAGGCTTACCAGCTCTTTAACCTCCCTAGGCGCTTTAGATGGCAATTTAGGAGCCCTTTGAATATCATTAAAATACCCCTATAATAATAAAAATAAATGTAAATTAGAAACAACATATGATGTGTGAACGAGTCTCATGGATTACTCAGTAGAAAGTTAGTAACTCAATAATCAGCTTAATAAACCCAACGTTTTAGAGAAATTGTACATGTCATCCATATATCAGCTTCCACCCTCGTGCAAATAGCATGGTGCATTATAGCAGAAGTTCAAACCAATGAAACCATGTCAGTTCAGCATATTAATTTACCTCAGTAATCCTTTTCTGGATCATATCCTCAATTGAAGCTGTAACCTCCTCAGTGATTACAGGAGCAGGTCTCACATTGTGCTCAAAGTCCAGATCAACTTCCAATGCACTATTCTTGGGTCTCTTTGCAGCAGTTACCTGTTATAAAATTGACAATCAATAATCTAATGACAGATTGGCAAAAAGAACCTACAAATGCAAATGCAACCAACAAAAAAGTCGGGTAAAAATATAAGGGACTATTGCATTACCTCACCCTGCATAGTCCAAGTTTTTGGCTCTATGTTAGCTTTCTCCATCTGCTCTATCTTTGAATGAATTTTTTCCAGTTGCTTTTCATGGGCAGAAGCAGTACCTTTTTTCTACATACATGAACCAAAAAAAAAAAGAATATGAAAGTTTATTTTTTAAAATAAATCTTCTTCATGGTCTTGTGTGTATAAACAAATAATGTAATACCTGTTCGTCAAATTCCATGTCATCTTCATCACCAGAATCTTCAGATTCCTGAGCTTTTCTTTTCAAGCCCTTTTCCTTTTTACCTCCAAAGAAGTCTTTATACCTGAAAGCAACAGATGGAAAAAATGAACCCAGCATACAAATATAAAGAAAAACATCTAAAGCAGTAAGAAAATTCAAGCAGTTAAATACTGTAAAGCTTTAAGAAAGCAGAAAGATCACCCCTCAAAATACATAACTCAAGAAGAAACAAAAGAGTGAATCCAAAACTAAAAGGAAAAATCTATATATAATAGCCTGCAGCAATTACTATTGACAAAAGAACCAATATGCTCTTTTGCTTATAGAAAGCTTAAGGGGGTGTTTAGTAAAGGGATTTTTTTGAGATTCCCGAAAAAGTGATATTGAGAATCCTATTTACCCACATTTGGTATAAGGTTTGTAAAAATTACCCCGGGAATCTGATTTTGCCGGGATTTTGATTTGTGTACAAATTGTCTTCCAAAATGCCATCCAAAAATACCACCAAAAGGGTGGTATTCTTGAAATCCTGGGTGTTGGAAAAATTTGATATTATTTTTGGGGCAAAAATGCCCCTCTGTTGGCACACAATTCCTGAAAGAGGAAACCATGGCAAAAGTCTCCAGGCTGACACTCATCCACCCGATAAATTGGGAGATGAAGGAAGGAGTTCGAGGAAGGAGAAGAAGCCAAAATCTGGGGCCTTTGAGTCACTAGGTCAGAGTCCGAATGTGTTTAAGGGAATCAAGCGCAAAGGGTACAAAGTGCCCCCTCCAATTCAGAGGAAGACCATGCCCTTCATCCTTTCTGGCTCTGACATTGTTGCCATGGCTCGTACCGGCTCTGGAAAAACGGCTGTGTTTCTTGTCCCAATGCTACACCGCCTCAACCAGCATCTTCCTCAGGGGGAGTTAGAGCCCTCATTTTTTTATTTTTTTATTTTTAAGGGAACCAACCTTGCTTTGATTTTTATTATTATTTTCAGACCTTCGTGTTAGTTTGTTAGTTGGCGAAGATAGTATGGAAAGTCAATTTGAGGAGTTAGCTACTTAGCTCAGAGTTGTGACATTATAATTCCAACTTGGATTGCTTTAGATCGGAGGAAACCAATTAGAACAATAGTGGGGTTAGAGTCAATGTGTTGAAGAAAAGAACGAAGGTGGGGTTATTTTTGTAAAATCACCCCACATTCCCAGTAATTTTAACAATCAACTAAACATAGAATCAGTAAATTTGAGCCAATATTCCCGATTTACCGATAATATTTTGGCCTACCAAACAGCTTTTTGGTCACATTCCCGGGAGATTCACTTTCTCAACATATTCCTGGTAATCGTGATTCACGGACATAAAAAATTTCTCCTCTACCAAACACCACATAAAAGTAAATGGAAAACAGTTAGCTTATTTGTTTTCCTTAAGTTTCCTCAAGCTGCAATTGAGACTAATTACAACAATAACAAAAAAAATTCCCCCAAGGTGGGGTCAGCTACATGGATCAAACAACACTATTGAGTTCTGTCAAAAGCCAGGTCTTCAGAGAGGCCATCTAGATCCAAGTCATTTTAAATGGTTTCACTCCAGTTTTTCTTAGTCTTTCTCTCCCTCAAACTATTAGACTGTCCTCCATCTGATCAATTATTCATAATGGGACTTCTATTGGTCCTCTTCTTATCATCATCTTAGGCATGATTAAATTAGCTTTTCCTCATAAGTTGCCACTCCCACTTTCTTTCTAATACATTCACCCCTCATCTAATTTATTCTTATATGTCCACTCATTACATTCTCATCTCTGCAACAGCAACTGGGGATGAACCTACACTGTAGATCATAGGGGCATAAGCCCCCTCAGTCCCACACATTATTTTTTTAATGTTAGTTATAATTTTATTATTCTTATATATCCCATAATTTATTCTTATAATTATGATAGAGGTCAAATTCTTTTGATGTTATACTTATAATAACATATGATTTACTGATAATAAAAATAATTTACATTACTAAGAATCAAAACTAAACTAATTACCCTATAATATTGCATTTTTTAATGTAAATATAAATAGGGTAAACTACACTCCACTGTCCTCCCCACTTTTTTGAAAAATACACACCTCCCTGTAGAGAGATGAAATGCGCTGCACTTTAGTCCATTTTAATTTAAATGAACCTCATAACGATGGTGAGCAAATATAAACAAGACTCCCAGGGGGCATTTTTCCTCTCTCTACATCCCTCAGTGTCATTGCAAGCTAATTTTGAACATTCTACTATCAAATGAAGATGAAATAAAGTTATGAACAGTCCTACTATCAGCTTTGGGAATTTACACAAAATCTTCATTTCATCATCTGAAATCCCAAAAGTCGATAGTAGGGATTTAGAACTAGTCACCGATGACACTAAGTGTCACAGAGAGAAAATAAAAATGCTCCTAACAGGCAGTTGTTCATGTTAAAATGTAGCACATATTAATCTATCAGGGGTAGCGAATGTAACCCTTAAAAATAGAGAAGAAGGAAGTGTAATTTCAGTATCTCTCAGGTGAGGAGATTGTAATTTACTATACACATTACAAATATTTACTAAAGTGAAACAATTAAAGCTTTTATTTGTGCATTTCTTTGACACATAAGTTAATTATAGAATTAGTGGTAATAACTTAGGTTGCAACTTGCAAGCTTAAAATGGATGAAGATTCAAATCTTTTTTATTCTTTTTGGGTTCTCTTGTGAGAGGACAAGAATAAACACCTTGTATTTTCCATGTCCCCTGCTTCTTCATCTACATAATCTTCCTTGCCAATCCCAAAATCACCAGCCTAGATAAATATAATTAGAATGAGTCAGAAACAAATTAATCAATAAGTAACATAAACAAATGAACAAAATAACAACTTAACATGCACCGAAACTTATCAATACTGAATTTGCAGACAGAATTAAAAGGAAAAAGAAAAACTCATAAAGGCAACAAAAATAAAGATTAATGAATCAACTAAAACACAGTGCCCTATCAAAACCAAACTAAGCAAAGAGCACTCTCACCTCATCACTTTCCTCATCATCTTCAGTGTCTTGGTCGTCGTCACTTCCCTCCTCACTTTCTCTGTCTACCTCACCATTCTCCAAATTCTCTTCCTCCTTCTGTAAGTACTTTGCCAATTCATCTATTTTCAAGAATTTATCTTCAATACCACCACCACCATCACCATTCTCCTCCTCGCTCTCGTCGTCTTCATCCTCCATTCCTTCTTCTTCTTCTTCTTCCTCTTCCTCCTCCTCCTCCTTTTCTACCCTTTCTTCGTCAAAACCGTCGCTTTCTTCATCCAATTCCTCGTCAAAACCGTCGCTTTCTTCGTCCCACTCGTCACGATTACTTGCCTCTGCCTTGTTCCCACCTTCGGAAGAAACCCTCAGCTGGGAAATCTCTTCGGGATTGTTCGCCAGCTGCTTCACCCCGCGGCGAAGAGTGGACAACAGAGGCTGCGATTGGAGGTCAATTTGCTGCCATATCTGCTCGGCGTCGAAGCCGTCAACGAGGAGATGGTCCAATGGCGATTTTTGGGAGAAGGGTCTGAGGGAGGAGAACAGGTACTGCGATGCAGCACGAGCAGTTTCAGACAGCGCCTGGTTTGGTTCGAGCCATGACGGTGGATCTGTGGCATTCAGGCACCGCAGGGCTTTGACGCCGTCGACGCTTGCGTTCGCCATTGCTGGTTGCTCAGTCTCTCTGTGAACTCTTCCAGCGATGAATGGGTTTAGGGTTTTAGTCCAGCTGGAATTTGCCAGCGACTAAACTGTGCGTTTAGACGTGCACCTCTCTTAAATAACTATACAATTAAGTAAAATTTAAGATGATGATCAAGGGAATAGCGACCCATTTGCCACATTTTAAAAAAATAATTACCTAATTGCCACGCGAACAATACATTTTTCAAAATGTACAAGTTTGCTACAGTAGATAGTGAACTTTGTTTGCTGATGTAGCTACCTAATTCGCTACTGGTAGTAACGAACTAGGTGGTCAAAATATATCCTGAGCAAAAATAGAACACGTGTCAGCTTCTCCCAAGTTCGCTATGAATGTCAGTGAACTAGGTGAAAAAAATTTATATTTCCGACGCATGTCCCTTCTTTCTTTGTGCAGTACAAGTTCTCTTTTTCTAACAACTCCATTGCCAATTTTCTCTTGCGGTGACGTCTCCAAGCAGCTTGTATAAAGCAAGTCCCCCCAAGCTCTCCACTGAATGGAATAGTACCTGAAAGCATGTTGGAGTTTCTTGCTGTGGAGGCGCTTAAACTGGCTGGTTACAAATTTGAGGTCCTCATCTCTATGTGCAAATGTTTCAACTTCAGTGAGGGTCTTAGCTGTTCGAGCGGAAGATGGAAGATTAAGACTAGAAGTTGCCATCAAGGCCCATGTTAACAATTCTTCACCACAAAAGTCACCGCAAAAGATAATGGAGTTGTCAGAACGAAGGACATGCGTTTATTACACCTAGTCACCACGAGAACTTGTACTGCACAAAGAAAGAAGGGACATGCGTCGGGAATATAAATTTTTTTCACCTAGTTCGCTGACATGCCTAGCGAACTTGGGAGAGGCTGACACGTGTCTTATTTTTGCTCAGAATATATTTTGATCACCTAGTTCGCTACTACTAGTAGCGAACTAGGTGGCCACATCAACAAACAAAGTTCGCTACTTACTATAGCGAACTTGTACGCGTGGGATTTTGGAAAATTTTACTATTCGCGTGGCAGTTAGGTAATTAAAATTTTAATTTGTGGCAAATGGGTCACTGTTCCATGATCAAGCAGCTTATACATTTAACCATTTATATACTATTATACAATAGAGAATGCATATAAGTATTTCTTCCCTATTTTGTATATATTTCCTAATTTTAAAAAATCAATTTAATTTTAATATCATTAATAACAAATTTTATATGATATTTCCTGTCTTCCTTGAACAATAATAATCAAATAATTTACTTATATATAATCTAATTAAAATTTAAAATTACATTTTTTTTTGTAAATAAGGGAAAAAGAAAATAGAACTACAGATTAACAAGCCTGAGTGATGCAATACCCATTAAATCCTTATTAACTAGGGATCTACATCCAAGAGGAGGATTATCAAAGAAAACAGTATCCCAATCTTGGGACAGGGACAAATTAGCCATCTAGTCAGCCACCATGTTGCCTTCCTGATACATATGAGATATTTTGACATTCCATTGCCTATTGACCAGGGACTGGATTCGAGAAATCAAATTGAAGCAGGGCTTATAAGGATCACAGCCATTTAACAGCAATTTCATCATGGTAGAGGAGTCACCTTCCAGCCAAACAGATCTAAACCCCTTATCCCAAGCAAGAGCAAGCCCAATAAAAGGCACCCCACAACTCAGCAGTAAGAGAATTGTCTCTTCCCAGATTCTGGGATAAGCCCACCAACCATCTGCCATTATAGTCTCTTACGGCACCACCACACCCCATTTTCCTAGTATCCCATTTGCAAGCCACATCCGAATTTACTTTTACCCAGCCAAGAGGAGGGAAATGCCAATTGATGAGAATGTCCTGTTTCCAGCTATGAGTAATTCCAACACGACCTGACATGCTGTTTGTGAGCAAGATGTTATCAGAAAAGTTTTTCTCCTTGGCAATCAGATAGACCTAAGTCTTGTTAAACTTTTAAAAATAAAGTTATTTCTCTCTTGCCATAACATCTAGCAGGTTACACCAAAGAAGATGGCCCAATTAGGCTGAGAGGAATTCACCTTCCTTTTACACATTGGAGATTAGAGTTGAAAAAATACGGTAGTTGGTTTCTATCAATCAACTTTCTCCACACGATTTGGGCCCACCCACAATCTCTAAAGATATAGAGATAGTCTTCTACAGGGGAAGAGCAACGAGGATATGGGTTCAGCACTCCCATATGTCTTTTGTTCCTCTCATCATTAGTGAACATCTTCTCACCAATAAGAAGTCACAAAAAATTCCTAATCCTCTGAGATCCTTCCCAACTCCAGGCCAAAGACCAGTTCCTATTAGCTAGGGAATTAGGAGTAGGATTCAGGCATCGATAAGCATATTTCATAAAGAAGGCCCCATCATTGGAGGTAGGGTTGGCAAAAACGAGCCAACCCGTCGGATTTGCTCGTAACCCGCCAAAAATGAGCTGGGTTAGGTTGACAAAAATGAGCTGCCAACCCGACCCGAGCCAGCTCGTGAAAAAACGAGCCAACCCGCGGGTCAAACGAGCCAGCTCGCGGGTTGAGGATTTTTTTATAAAAAATTACAAAATATAATATACAAAAATGGACAAAATCCATATATGCTGTCATAATTTTTCTTCCTTCTCGAAACCTACCTTAATCTTCTCACATCCCTTCCATTTTTATATTGTTAGGTTGTGCTGGCTCTGTTTGGTTCAAATATCTTACCCATTTGGTAGCAAGTGGTTTTGATTGTTTCTTGATGTTGATGCAAATTTGTTGTGAAAAAAATTTAAAATTAAAATATTTTGCTTTTATTTCTCATTTTGTAACCCTTTTTTTAAGTTAATGGAAGCCATATAACTGGTGCATTAATACTACAGGGTCATTTAAATAGGATGAAAATGAGATAACCCGCAAGTAATTTTCGAGCCAACCAGCGAGCCAACTCGCGAGCTATTTTTTCAAGCCAACCCACAAGCTATATTTTTGAGCCAACCCACGAGCAAACCCTAACCCTACTCGGGTTAGGTTGGGTTGAGTTTTCTGACTCGTTTTTTTTTTCGAGTCAACCCTAACCCGGCTCATTTTTTCAGGTTGGGTCGGGTCGAGCCGGGTTGGCCCGTTTTGCCAACCCTAATTGGAAGCATCCCAAATGACTCTATCCTCACCATCCTCCAACGAAGGAGAGACAGTTCCAGCTAACCAGGAAAGAGTGTCAATAGATAAAAAAATGGTTTAACAGAGACCAACTCCAAGAACCTTCTTGCAAAACATACTCATCCACTGTCTTCCACTTGACAGGTTCAGGAACAATGTTGATAGCTATATCCAACAGCTTAGGGACTTTAGGTAACATATTGTGAAGCCAAAAAAGAGTAGACCTCCCATTAGCCACTTGGATACGAGAGCTTGCTACAGTCTTGGGCCAGCATTTGGTGACCCTTATCCACAGGTTAGAAGAGTTATTTCTATGTCTGACTTTCAGAATAAGAACATTACCTAATTTGCACTTTTTGACCCACAAAGCATCCATCTCAGTTAAGAGACCATTACCCACTTTCATCATGAAGGATCGATTCACATCTCTTATTTGTTTCATATTGAGCCCCCAGACTCCAAAGGATAGTACATCTTGTCCCAACTCACAAGGTGAACTTGACGTTTCTCAGAAGACGAACCCCAAATAAAACCTCTTATACTTCGATCCATAGCATCGCAAAAAAAGAGGGGAATATTAGATGTTTGCATAGAATAAGAGGGATGCGCTGAAAGCACTGATTTTGCCATAGTAACTCTCCCACCAATGTATAGGAAAAAGGCATTCCACGAGTTAAGTTTACTATGGACCCTGTCTAAGATATGAGCAAAGGTACCTCTCTTCACTCTGTCATGGTGTAAGGGGATGCTCAAATACCTGCCCAGGTTACTAGTAAACCTAACACCCAACACTTAACTTATTTCCTTACCTCTATGGAAATGCACGTTCTTTGAAAAGAAGACCTTAGTCTTTTCATGGTTGATTGATTGCCCAAAAGCAGCACAAAACAAATCCAACACTGCCTTGATAACTCCAGCTTGCTCCATAAAAGCTTCAAAGAACAGCAGGATGTCGTCAGCAAAAAAAGGGTGGGAAATGGGAGCCTCATCTCTCCGAAGCTCAATGAGGTGCCATTTTTTTAGTCTGGAGGCAGTCTGAATCAAATGTGTCAGACATTCCACACAAAGAACAAAAATATATGGGGAGATAGGATCTCATTGTCTGATCCCACGGCTCAGTGTGAACTTTGAGGTTGTCTTCCAATTCCATAAGAGATTCATAGATGAGAAAGACACACACTGGCTAATCAAATCAGTAACAGAAGAGGGCAATCCAACTTCACACAAGATGTCTTGGATAAATCCCCAACTAAGCCAATCATAGACTTTATCCATATTACTTTTTATAGCTATCCATCATGTTTTCCCCCTGTTGGCTCTCATCGAGTGGATAATCTCCCGAGCGATGATGATATTATCTGAGCTATCTCTAAATTAATTTTTACAGCTATCCATCCCGTTTTCCCCCTTTTGGCTCTCATCGAGTGGATAATCTCCTTATCAATGATGATGTTATCTGAACTATGTCTCCTATGGACAAAACTACGCTGATTTGGGGATATTAGCCTCGACATGTGCTTCTTTAAGTTGTTTGCGATAAGCTTAGTAATGATTTTATAGACAACATTACATAAGCTTATTGGGCAAAATTGCTTAATATTTTCAGGAAACCCCAATTTTGGGATGAGGCAAATTAAGGTCTGATTCACCCTTCTCACATTGGCTAGTTTAAAAAAAAAAATTCCTTAACAAGATCGTAAATGAAAGGGCCAACAATTTCCCATCAAGATTGGAAGAAGGCAGTGTTAAGCTCATCTGGTCCAGGGGCCTTAAGCTTTCCTATGGAAAAGACAACTCTACAAATTTCATCTCACGAAGGATGTTTCCCAATCATCCTAACATCTTGATTACTAAGAGGGGGAAAATCACCGTTAATAGGTAACTTCTATCTGTGAACCACATCTTCCTAATAGAGCTTGGCGTAGTAATCAGTCGCCAGATGAAAGAGGTTCGCCTCCTCAGTGACACAGTTTCCCAGATCATCCTTCATAGTCTTAATCCTGTTATGTCTTCTTCTAGCCATCATATTCGCATGAAAGTACCTAGTATTCTTATCCCCCAACTTAATCCAATTGCAGCGTGATATTTGGAACCATTCCAGCTCTTCATGAACTAGGATTCCCTTGAGCTGATGCCAAAGAACAACCTGGCCAGACCACTACTAAATTTGATATTGAACTGGCGGTTAAGCATGGCAAACAACCGATTCTACTCCCTCTTTTTTGCTTTGAAAGACTCAACATGCCAACGAGAAGCTTCGTATCTGAAATCCTTATAGGTTAAGTTCCACTCCCTATTTGTGGGCCAACACCGCTTCACCATGAGCCCAAAATCTTCTGATGTGAGCCAAGCCAAAAGAAATTGGAAGGGTTTAGAGTGACTGGGGTTTAAACTAGCTGAACCATCAGAGAGCAGAATGGGCCTATGGTCTGAAATGAAAAAAAAGATATGAGATAATAAAAAAAAACCATTGGGCCAGGAAAGGCTCCAACCCTCAATCGCAACGGCCCGATCCAGCCTCCCTCTTTTCCAAGTGAAGTTAGGGCCTTTGAACCCAATAACATCTAAAGTGCAGACATCGAGACATTGTCTCATTTCATGCACACTGTTCTAACACACTTGAGATTCCCTTACTTTCTCATGCGCTTGAAGAATAGAATTGAAACCCCTATAGCCACCCACGGGTCCCCTTCATAAGGAGAAATTTGAGTGAGATTGTTCCAAAGAGCGCATCGCTCGTTCCTTCTGGGACTACCATACACGAAAGTAACTAAGCTAGTTTTCATGGATTCCAGAAATTTAATTCCGGTGTGGACAAATTGATGATTCGAGCAAAGGACTTCTACCGAAGCATCAATATCATCCCACAATACCTATATACCTCCAGAGAATCTCATTGCATCTTGGAGGAAAAAATGCTTGAAGACAAGCTTCTTCACCACCTCTCTAGCTCTAACACCACTAATCCTGGTTTCCAAAAGAATCATAACTTGAATCTTAAATATGTGTTTATACATTTTCTTTTTCTAACACCAGTAATCCTGGTTTCCTTATTCGTGAATTACATTTTCTTATGTATATTTCTTTTTCCTTTATATTAATAAAGAAAATGTCATTTATAATGGATTTTTTTTATAGAATTTATAATGGATTGTGGTGCTTGTATATTTCTTTCATGAATTCCTATCAATTAATGTATGTTACTTTAAAAAAATTATAATTAAGAGAATAAAAGCTTCATTATTTAAACAGTTGAACAATATATTGACTTCAAAAGCTATGCGGTGTTGCACCGTCTTATTAATAATTAATTGAGATATGTTATTCTACCTAGGGTTGGCAAACTGGGCCAACTCTGCCCAGCCCGACCCAACCCGCATTTAACCCGAAAAAAACGAGTTAGGTTAGGGTTGGCTCGAAAAAAAAACGAGTCAGAAAATCCAACCTAACCCGACTCGAGTCGGGTTAGGGTTGGCTCGCAGGTTGGCTCAAAAATATGGCTCGCGGGTTGGCTCATTTTCAGCTTATGTAAATAACCCTGTAGTATTAATGCACCAGCTATGTGGCTTCCATTAACTTAAAAAAAGGGTTACAAAATGAGAAATAAAAGCAAAATATTTTAGTTTCGAATTTTCTTCATAACAAATTTGCATCAACATCAAGAAACAATCAGAACCACTTGCTACCAAGTGGGTAAGATGTTTGAACCAAACAGAGCCAGCACAACCTAACAATATAAAAATGACAGGAATGTGAGAAGATTAGGGACTTAGGTTTAGAGAAGAAAGAAAAATGATGACAACATGTGTGGGTTTTGTCCATTTTTGTATATTATATTTTGTATTTTTTTATAAAAAAAATCTCAACCCGCGAGCTGGCTCGTTTGACCCGCGGTCTGGCTCGTTTTTTCACGAGCTGGCTCGGGTCGGGTTGGCAACTCTTTTTTGCCAACACAACTCAGCTCTTTTTTGACGGGTTGACTCATTTTTTCCAACCCTAATTCTACTACCTTTTTTATCTGCCTAATTTTGTCTACCATTCTTCCATATTATTAGATCAAAATCTCAACACTTTTATCATTTTTCTCTCCTATTAAGATTTTAATATAATAATATTAAAAAATGGTAGGCAAATGTAAATAGAATAATATATTTCTAATTAAGTGTAATGATCATGTTAGAAGATAAAAGTTTTATTATAATATTTTGTTAACTTCATATAAAATTAATTGAATTTAAAAATGATATATTATTAAATTAAAATACAAAAAATTTAAAGTAGAAACGTATTTTTAAAATTATTATCATTTATTTATTTTCATTAGGTTCATATTTTTATATGATTATTAAATTAAAATAAAGAGATAAGTTATTTTACCTATTTCTTTTTTTGCCTACTTTACTTACCATTCTAAAATATCATTAGATCAAAATCTTAACTAATTTTTATCTTTTTCTTTCCTATTAAGATTCTGATCTAACAATATTAACGAGTAATAGGCTATGATGCACGGACACTGACACGGGATACGGAACACAACACGACACGACACGCCGACACGTTAATTCTAAAAAATGATATATTTCGACACGTTGTGACACGTTTTGATATTAAATAATATTTTTAATATATATAATATAATTTATATTTAATAATTATAACAGTCCATAATAAGTCATATAACCAATCAAATATTCAAATTTCATAACATAAATATAAACAAAAATAATTTTTCGTACCTTGTTAATTTTTCATGTCAAATTTCATAACAGAAAAAATTGATTTATAAATATTTTTATTTTTATTTTTAGTCAATAAATTAAAATTAAGACTAAAAAAAAAAAAAAACCTGACCGAGCGTGTCCTAGCATTGACTGCGTGTCAGAAAAACGTGTCGGAGCGTGTCAGAGAGTTGACCAAGTGTCCCAAAATGTTGACCGCGTGTCTGACGCGTGTCCAAGCGTGTCCGTGTCAGACACGTGTCTGATACGCTATTTTAAAAAAAAAAACGACGTGTCCGGGTTTGCTAGGTAATAGGCAAAGATAAACAGAAAAATAATAAGTAGAATAATATATTCCTTAAAATAATACCAAAACTCACAACAATATCATATTTTTGTGGTTTGAGTGCTGTCCCACATTCCTGTCGGGGCAGCTTCCCTAAACCCCCATCCATAAGGGATCCCATCGATTTAATGTAAAGCAATGGCAGACACACATTGTTGCCATTGTCTGCACTTGCTGACACAAAAGTTTGAGAAATATTTTTTTTTTCAAAGGGGTGGGTGATTTAGGTCAAGTAAAAAAAAGAAAATTTAGGAAGATTGAAAAGAAAAAAGTAAACCCAACCCAACCAACCCCTATAATTAAAAGCTTACGGCTTAAATCCTACCTCATTGCTTTGTCTCTTCTTCTTTTTTTGAAACATAAACTTTATTAGCTCCAAACCTTAATAGACATCAATGGAAGAATTGCTTTTGTGATCGTTCTATTGTAACAGTTTAGTTGACTCTTGATTACTATTTTTGTATGTTAAGTTAAAATTTTCTTTTCTTTTCTTTTCTTGTTTATATTTTTTTTGTTTTTTAATATATTTAATTTTTTTTTTTAAATAAATCTTCAGGGCCACTACCCCGAACCCAAGCTCTAAGTTTGCAAATATAAAAAAAGAAATTCTGCATTGAAACCAATGACCATCCCCAACATTATCCAAGAGCATTTGTGTCCTTTTGATTAACGTTTTTGCATAATGTCTCTGTCGTAATCAACGATTTTAAAATAACTTGCGAAAGGTTGGTTTAAGAGCCCAGCTTCTAGCCACTCCAGATTGCAAGCATCAACAGAAAGTTATAACCGTGAAAAGAAGTTTCTTTGTTCTCATGTGCTGTGTCAGTCAGAGCAACATTTCCAATATACTAGCTCTTAGTTTCTTAGCTTATCAAAATAATTATGCATATTTAAGACAAATAAGCCTAGAATCAGTGATTGCAAGCATCAACACCAAGTTATAATCGTGAAAAAGATGTTTCTTTTGTTTTCATGGTCCTTGAGGGATTTCCAGTAATACTTGCTCTAACCTTATCAAAATAATGGCTCATTAGAAATAACTGCATATTTATTATTTAAGACTAAAAGATATTCTTAGAACCAGTGAATCTACTCAGATTAGTGTTTAGAAGTCATGGTTAATTACATACATTCCATCTCTTTGAATAAGTGGAGGCAAAATGTAATGGCCAAATTCTCCTTAGTTATTCAAACTGCTAATTTTCCAAAAACCAAAACAAGTTGTATACTTTGCTGTATATTTGTTCAATATATGAATAAATCCTTCTGAGTATAATCTTTTTTTTTTTTCTTACACCTTCTCTTCCCTCTGTCTACGTTAAATCTGATTTCTTCAGAAAATCGAAGCTAGTTCAGTCCTAGGCCGAAGTCATCTAACACATTGGTACGAGTCTGGATACCGAGTTGACAACACGGTGTGTTTCAGCTTCATTATCAAAGCGAAGATACCATAGCACGGAATATGCAATAATGCCATTGAAACGTAACTGGAAATCAATTACAAGCCAGAGAAAAAGGGTCAGCAAAATATCCTATCAAGAGTTTATCAGAATCAAAAATCTTGAAAGCACTAGAAATATGAATGAAATGAGAAGGATAAATTTTTTATTGGGATTGGGAGAAAAAATGAAATTTCCTAATAGAAAAATGGACAGGATTGCAGTATTTGATGCTAGAGGGGGAAAAAAAATAAACAACATACCATAGTGGAGCATATGGGGATGACAAGTCAAGAAATGGATATGCCCACCTGTTTTTCCAGGAAAAGAAACTTATATTAGAAATGATGTATGAGAGATGTTTTCACGGTGGTTTAGTGGAAAAAAGAGAGTTATTACCAGAGTTTGACTATGGCATGAATAATCCACTGGAAAATCACATATGTGACTGTCCACAGGCAAAAGTATCCTATTCGAAACCAAGGGAACCGCTGAAGAGAAAAAATAAATAAGGGTAAGAATTCGCATAAGCATATGCAATGGAAGTGGACAAATTAAATGGAATTAAATCTAGAAACTCACCAGGCAATTTAAAGCAGTATCGCCTAGCAGGAAAACAGCATTGATGGTATGCATATTGATGATTATCTGTCACATGACAATTTCACATATATAATTTAGCTTGAAGTCTCCCCTTTCTTTGGTAAGAGCAGTACCACAGGTAGACAGGTATCTATGCTAAAGTTATTAAAGAAAATTCGCAAATCTATGATGGAATAAATAGTACTTACAAAATTTATGTTGTAATCTTTCATGGTTAGAAACGGAACAATTATGAGCCAAAATACACAATCTGTAAGCATAACAGCACCTGCATTCATCTATTCACAAGTGAAGAAACAAAAATCAATGATGTGGCCAATGGCAAAGCTATGCTACCCGTCACTTTTATAAAGCATAGAACTGAATGAAAAGCAAAAATTAACAACTTTTTTTTTTTTTTTTCACATTATGCAGGAAAAGCAGAATGCAATCTCATTAATTAGTCTGCACCATGATGTAAGGTTGAAAATTTAATGAAGGGTGAAAAAGAGGACGATATACTAAAATTTGAGCTCATCACTGATATAACTTATATTTGAAGAATTTAGAGAAAGGAATCAATCGTCTTTGTAGTTCAACCAATGATGTCCGAGTAGTTTACCTGGAATATTATTTGAAAGATATAACCCCAAGTGCCAGCAGGTTGACGGATAGCATGTCCTTCTGGAGCTCCTAAACCTTTCTCATGGCTGGATGGATTAGAACTCCGTGGGAGTGAAGAAGCATCAAAATTTCCTTGCTCCGCATCTCCATCCACATGGTCAACCTTATCACCACTCGCTTTCTTATGATGATGGTAACATCCATGCATGGAGAGCAAAGATCCCAGCTACAACATCAAGCACACAATTACAAAAGAGTATAGCAGAGGCCAGAGATTACGCACTAGATTATAGACATGAGTAACATAACTAACGAAAAATTATATATTAGGCCCTTTATGGTAGTACTTACCCCAAAATAAATGGTGATTGAAGTAAAAGTCCACCTGTTTCAGAGCAACAAAAACAAAACAAAACAAAAATCAATAATTAAATGCTAAAAGAGAAACCCTTGATGTGGTTAATCAATACAGTAAGAGGTGAAATAGGCTTCTTGCTATAAATGGTAGCAGCTTCAATTAACATCATGAATCAAGTAAAAAGCATTTGTTTTCTTAGACACCCAAATCACTGATCACAAGGATATGATAAAGGCTTCATTCCTAGAGAAGAGAATGACTAATTGCACTGGTAAAAATCCCTTCATCTAGTAAAATCGATAGCTTTCTTATGGTTTGAGATTAATTAACTCCGTTTACAGTTAAATTTTCTTTCAAATGTGTGTTTCTACCACAGACTTCTGTTTTCACTTTTCAGGTTCCATACCAATAATGTAGGATGATGATGGTTTAAAAGAAAACAGAACTATACAGACACATATGTATACAGACCCTATCCATATAATGTGCATTAAATATTAATTCATTTCATTCCAAATTCTGAGATAAAATTCAAAAGGAAAGGAAAAACTTACTGAGTGTAAAAGTAGAAAATGCTTCCTCCGTCCTCAATAACAGTGACTATGAGAAGCACCAAAAGAACAATAAATGCAAAAACTCTAAAACTGAGCAACCAAGCTGGGTGAATCCCTTTTAAGCAAGGCTTCCAAGTTTCATCCTCATACAAAGTTGACGATGTTTCCTTCTGAATTTCCATGTTATCATTTTTTGATGGTTTTCGAAAGACTTCGTACTTCCATATAATCAATGATGAAAAGATAGCTGAAAGCAGGATCCAGATAGCACAAAGCAAAACCCTCCAGTTTATCCAGTAACTTTGTGTGGTTGTATCCGCAGTCATGATTGGTTGCCACGTGCCTTTGGGAGTGCCTGTTACAAAACTCATGGCGTTACTTCTGATTCTTTTTCAGATTTCTCACAGTAAAATGGTAAGGTACTTGGGGATGATGCTGTTATGCTTTTCTCCTTCCCAAATTTCTTACGTGGAAGAAAAAAAAAGAATGAGGAAAATGTCAACAAACAAATGCTATTGAAGAATGAACAAATCGAATGTTTCTTAATGTTCTTCCTCAGAAGCCGAGAACCCAAAAGACAAGTTTGAAACTTTGAAATGGGTTTAATCAAGTGCACGGTTTTATGCTCTGCCTACTACTACTAAGAACCGAGGAAGGAAGGAAAACATAGGGACAGGAAGTTAAGTAAACATGGGTATCTAATGCATTTCAAAATGAGAACAATTTCAAAAAACTTGGGCAAGGAGGAACCAAAAAGTTGAACTCTTGATCCTATTTTGACCACATTAATTAATCGTTTAATTATCAGATAATGTAGAGATTCTAAACTTTGGGTGTATTTTTGCACAGAAAGATACAACCGACAATTTTAATTGTGTGTCTAATAAGGAAAAAGAGGCAGCTAAGTAATAAAAAGCAAAGAAAAGGTTGAAACTTGCAAGGGAAAGCAATACAGTGTGGAGGTGAGAGAAGAGGAGATGCTTTGCTTCTTTGCTTTGTATGTAGAAAAAGAAAACTATTTAAAGGTTGTAGAGAGGGAGAATGGGAAAAAAGAAAAGGATGGTGTGCTTTGAGCACAAGCTTCTTCTCTTGCTTTTCTTGTTATCCAACCAAAATCTGATTGCGTTCTTGATCTCCACATTCCCATGCAAATTTTAAATTAGTCCCAATCCAAAAGACATGCATGTTTATGTGAACCTTTCTCGGGTAAACAATCTTATTACACTTGTTTTTTAATGACAGAGGAAAGGGACCAGAGACAAGGTACAATTGTATTTGGCTTTTGTATTGGAATGCTTGGAGGGGAGATGCTTCATGTTTTCCAAGAATGGTTTTGCCTCGCGTGAGTCATGACTTGCTCATAAAGAAATAAAGTGCTAACTAACAGAAAAGGAAATGACAGAGCAAAAAAGAAAGTGAGATAAAAATAAAAATAGATGCTTTAGGCTTAATGAGATGACACGGTGCATATGGGTAGGAGCGTAAGGAAACTATTGTAAATTTTCGTGACTAAATCTTTCTAATTTTCCTACATGAATAGTGAAAATATTTTCGGAAAATAGGGTTTGATACCAATGATTTGGAACATGATTACTATGATTCATCAAACGGAGGATGTGTATTTGGGGAAGTCGATTCTCTCAAAAGTGGTAATGTAATCATGTTATTTGATTACAACAATTTATTTAAAAATTATATATTTTTCTCTTTCTTATCTAGTGATTGTGAACAAATAACATGACTACATAATTACTTTTTTACATGAGATGATCCATTCCCGTATTTGGGAGACCCATGTATTTATTGAGCACATATTTGGAGTCATCAAAGGCTGATTTGGAGAATGAATAAGGTTGTTATTGCATGTAGGGGAGCACCCATCACGGAATGGTTTTCAGTTAAAGCATAAAGAATTAAAGACTCATGTCATGCAACTTTCCTTTGTCACATTGAGTGGGGCCCGCGGTTGAGACCACCCTGACTTGGAGCTGGTAGGTGGCCACAAGTGGAGAGTTCTCGCAATTGACAACTGGAAGATGGCATTTAGGTAATTCTGCTTGGAATTTTGGTTTTGAACTGTCTCAAACACACTTCTCCCATGCATAGAATACGGTTAAGAGGGAAAGGGAGAAGAAAACTGAACCCAATATTTATTGGGTGCATATTTTCTTATGTTGTAGGATAGTAGGAGAGAAAAAAAGTAGAGATAAGTTAAATGTGGGTCCCACATTTTAAATTAAAAAAGAAAAGAAAAATTAATTGGCACAGAAAACGAATTTGTGTAGGAAAAAATTCTTATCTCATGTAGATGGAGATAATGATTTCCCATACTTATTTTACATATTTCTGAAAAAAATGGGAGAAATAATGGAATTAGGTTTTTTCTTTTTCTTTTAAACCTTTTTAAAATAAGGGTATAGAGGAAAATAATGCTTTTCTAAATTGAATAGAACGGCAATAACTTCAAAAAAAAAATTAATTTCCTTATTTTAAAACGTTTCAAATAAAGAAGAATAATACTCCACTTTATAAGACAACATAGCATTTTATATTATCATAAAAATACATCAAGTTCATTAAAAGAGTAAATTGCAGCTCTTATCCTTCACCTTATGTTTCTATATGAATTAAATCACAGAATGTATAAAAATAAAAATAAAAATCATAGAGTTTGAAATTGATTAAAAAAAGGCATTCTTTTAACTCCGCACTTTATAACTTGAAATTTCACTTTTTAAGAGCATTATTTGAGAAAGTTCACGGGAATTCTGAAAAAAGAAGAACAAAAAAGAAAAATAAGTTAAAAATTATATATTTTTGTTATAATTAAGGAAAAATCATTTCATGTGATTTTTTTCCTCTTGATTTTTAATATGTATCTTACGTACAAGTGTTAGATTGTTCAAATGACCTTAATACCCTAACATACACACCGAATACATAACAAATTATATTAGACTCTGAATATACCATAATGCCTGTTACTTGCAGATCAAATAATAATGTACATGTTAATCAACAATAATTAAAAAAAGGGTATATTGTACTTCTTTCTTTCCAGAGAGATGTTATATTGTATGCTTTTTATTTTTTACAATAAAATAAGGATAATATTTTTCTTTTGTTATTAGAGAAAAATTTTGTTTTTGTAAAGACAAAAATTAAGTGGGATCCACATTTAAAAAAAAGGAGGGAGAAATTTTTTATGTAAGTACAGGAGGGAAATAATTTCTCCTGCAACAGAAGAAATTCATTCCCCGTAAAATAAAGAATAATATAATGTGAGCATTAAAAAAAAAAAAGTCTAAAACGGTCAAATTGTTCTGGGAAGAGACAAACATACCTTTCATGTTGAGCTAGAATGAAATGAAAGCACTGAGCAAATGAGCATTAGCATTTAGCAGGAAGAGGAAAGTGAGTTTATATATATAAATGAACCGAATGGAATTGAACTTCTAAAGGTAAGATGATATTCTCATGACTTCCATGAGAAGATTGTGAATGTACAACCTTCTCATCAAGTTCTTATTTTTAACAAGGGTAAAGTATTTTTTGGGTTCTCAACAAATATTTTGGGTTCCAATTTAATTCCTTAAAAAAAATTTACTTGTGATCCTTATAAAATTTAAAATAGACCTATGTTAATTCTTTTGAGGGACTAATATGGATCTTCTTTGAATTTTAGAATGATCATGATTTTGACTAATTGGATCTATTTTGAATTTCGAAAGAATTACAAATCAACTGTTTTTTAAGGGATTAAAATGGGTATAGTAAATTTTGTTGAGAATTCAAAAAATACTTTCATCTTTTGGAGTGTGAAAATCATTAAATCTTTTAAGAAATGAATGTCACTCTTTTTTTTTTTTTTTTTTGAAATGAAAAAGCTTTATTATAATTTTTTTTACCCCCGATTTTTTGTTTTTAAGAAAAAAAAATCATTTTTTTTGGAATATATATATATATATATATATATATATATATATATATATATATATATATATAAGGTTTCAAGTTTCTGCAACCGCGGTATATACAGCAATTAAATTTGGAGAATCATAACTATACAAAGATTGGTGATCGCATTAAATGTGAGAAATTATAACCAATTAACGGTTTATCATGTATATATATATATATATATATATATATATATATATATATATATATATATATATGTATGTTTGATTTTTCTGCAGCCGCTTTACGTGTAGTAGTAACAAATTTTCCATATATATAGGTTAAAGCATTTAATGTGAGAAATTATAACCATACAAAATGTGAAAGTATTAAAGGTAGAGAATTATAACCATACACTTGGTATTACTGCACGTACAACAACTTTAGATATGATTTTATCATATATATATATATATATATATATATATATATATATATATATTAATTTCCAATAATAATAATCGTTGATTGACGAAAATCAACGATTAAGATTTGGTATCAAATTTCAAAATTTGACATCGGTGTCAAAGGATACTGCCCCTGTATATATATATATATATATATATATATATATATATATATATATATATATATATATATATATATATATATATATATATAGGTAGGTTACACTTACAACCTTTTTTTTTACATATATATATATATATATATATATATATATATATATATATATATATATATATATATATATATATATATATATATATATATATAACCTCTTACAACCATATCTTTACACCGTTGATTTCTGCCAATCAACGATTATGATTTTCGCAAATTAAACTCATTAATAAATTATTAATTCACAATATAACCGTTGATTGGCGGAAATCAACGGTGTTAGGATATAGTTGTAAGAGGTTGTAAAAAAAAAGGTTGTAACTATAACCTTCCTATATATATATATATCAGAAAAATATTTCTGCAGTTACTGCAGATAAGTTATCTGCATTTATTTCCAAAACGACGTTATTTTGGGATTGAAATATTAAAAAATTATAATTATAAAGACTATAATAACCCTGTAATAAATTAAAATTACAAAAACACCATGGTTTTCGCCCCAAAACAATATCGTATTGGGGTTACTGCAGATAACTTATCTGCAGTAACTGCAGAAAAAAGAAATCCTATATATATATATATAGGAAAAATATTTCTGCAGTTAATGCAGATAAGTTATCTGCATTCATTCCTAAAACGACGTTATTTTGGTATTGAAATCTTAAAAAATTATAAATATAAAGACTATTATAACCTTTAAATAAATTAAAATTACAAAATATCATGATTTCCGTCCCAAAACGACGTCGTATTGGACTTACTCAGATAACTTATCTGCAGTAACTGCAGAAAAAGCGAACCCTATATATATATATATATATATATA